TACTTATTTTTAGATTTAGTTTATATCAATTTTGCGGATGTGATATGATTATTATCATTTATAATTAATTTAGGCAATATTTTTGAAAAATAAAGGTTATCATGAGAATTAAGTAATTTTTCTGTACATTTAAGTATTTATTATATTTTTCTATTAAAAGTACAAAGATTGGTATTTATGTATTTAGTTTTAATTTTTAAGGCAATTATTGAGATTATAATAAAGAAGCAGTTTCCATATGTATTGTTTAATCAAAATAAACCTATAATTTATATGTAATACATTTTGTGTATATAAATAGACAAGGATATGGTAAATATTAGTGGATGCATGTCAAAAGGCAAACGAGACTTAGGAACACCTCTAACGGATGTTAGCTTTACAGACTGTTTACAGACAGAACAGGTATTAGTGGCTTTATTTTCTGCTTATATACGTGTAAATCCTAAGCCGTTTTAACTACTATAAGATATTAAAGTCAAACACTCTGTTCTGTCACTTCTTACTTACATTTAAAATTGATCTATACATAATTTACCTTATTTCATAGATCCGTAAATAAGAAAATATCATTTCTTGAGTTTATCATAGCTATTGCATATACTACTATAACTACTATAAGATATTAAAGTCAAACACTCTGTTCTGTCACTTCTTACTTACATTTAAAATTGATCTATAGATTCGTAAATAAGAAAATATCATTTCTTGAGTTTATCATAGCTATTGCATATATAAAAACAATGATAATTACGTAGAAATCGGATAAAAAAATTGGTAAAGATACTGTTTAGACTCATAAAATTTACAATGCTGTTATTTCATCAAAAGAAAGCGGTAGGAAAGTAGGAAAGAATCTAGATACTATTCTCGTAATATCGAAATCAAAAATGAACGATAGGTTGGTAAATTATACTTTAATATTGATGGAAAGTATCATACAATAACATACAATTTTGAAGTAAACTTCAAAATCATATACCGGAGGTAGGATGAACAATTAAATCTTTATATGATTCACAATTTGGAATAATAATAAAATTTAATTGAGAATATATTCATATTTTAACCACTGCTAAAATATCATGAAATATTATTATTTATTATTTTATTCCATTCTCGATTTGCCAGTTTCAGTATGAATTGTTTTTCGCCATATTGTCGTTGGCCTACCTCTACGCCAGGTCCCCTGGTGATTCCATGTTAGAACAGCGTTCGGGATATCGTCATAAGGCTTACGCTGAGTATGGCGTATCCACCCATATTTTCGCTTTTAAATTTCAATAATAATAGACGTTTAATTAGTTTGCCTCCAGAGTTCGTTATTTGATATCGTTTTGGCCACCATATCTTCATTATGTTTCGCAAGCAGCGGTTGATGAAAGTTTTATATAGTTCAAGAAAAGATCATCAATAAAAAATAACTTTTTACTCCTTAAACTTTACTTTATATATTTATATAAATAATAGAATCTTCGTTAGTTTCACATTAAGTAAAAATCAACATATATTTAGTTGATTATGCTAATTTTCCTGTTGAAAAACAGGATAATCACCCGTTTTTACAAACTTCACATTATTGTGAATAAAGATATATTATGCTCTTCTAAATATTGGCAACAAGGTTTAGATGATAAAATGTACCAGTTTATAGATAAATAAATTGATTAAATAAATGAAATTTTTAACAATATACTTTTGAGTCCAAAGAAATAAAGATTGAATGTGAGTAGTATTGTCGAATATTATTAGCTGCCTCTATTATATTAGCATTATCATTGAGATATTTCTTTCAGTTTTGGAAAACTTTATACCCTTTACCCTGTCGAAGAACGAAATGATAATTCGAAACGTTTCATATTAGATTGGAAAAAGGCCAAAAGTGTGAATGTTATAGTTGATGAGATGTTAAGATATTGGTACTGCAACGGCAATGCTGAGATATGATAGACACATATATTCAACTAGTTTCTTACCTATATTTGCATGGATTCACTACAATTTCATGAGCAAAGTTGTATTTGATAAAAAATAAATAAATAAAAACTTAAACAGTGGTATGATTCGTTCTATTGATCAAGAACATATATAGTTTATGTAGCGTCTAAGTATTTTTTCACCGCTTTACAAACATTTTGATGAACTTCATTTACACTCAAGTAAATGGTATTAAAAAAACTGATATGTTTTAAATACATATACAAAATCAATAGAATTTTTTATTTATTTTTAAAACTAAATAACAAAATATAATTCAATATAGCTCGAAACCTTAATTACAAACTTAACCCCTTATTAAAAATATTATTTATTACGTGCTTAAATATATCTGTGTTATACATTATAAATCTCAAACTATGGTATATGTAAGTGATACAATTTTAAATTTATATTGAAAAAAAAGAGGTCACAAATATTGTGGAGATGTTATCAAATTTTGTACAAATACTAAATCAATACATAAAAAATTTCGATAAGAATTCAAATCTTAAAAACAACAGCAAGTATATCGCATCTCTACTGCTTATTATAGCTAAACAGCATCAACATCTACTTAAAAACAATATTATCTCTTGTTCTGAATAATCAGAACGCATGTCCGTCTGCCTAAGTACGTTCGTTTGTGTGTACATGTGATTGGAATATAGAAAAAAGATGTACTTATGTACATATCATCAGTTGTCAGTTCTATCGACTTATGGCTGGCTACACATGCACGAGTTTGAATTCCGAATTCCTTGTTCTCGATACTGTACAGATACTGTAAACTATAGGTTAAGATTATGAAACTATAATCGTGCAAAGCAAATATACGGAGATAAATATTTACTTATAAATAGTTTAATGTATGTATTTCATAAGTGTATTTTATTTCGTTTCACTTTAATCTGAATCGGAGAAGAGATATTTATTGTACATTTACTGAACTCAGCCGTAATAACCATTTAACAAATACAAATATGCATATTGGATTGCTAGCTTTTCAATAATCCATATTTCAAGATAAACTTTGACAAGAGTTCATTGAAAATGCGATAAATCCTTGTAGATAATAGTATTTGTCTCGAAAATATGATACAATTTCAATATGAAATAAAAATATTTTTATTTATTCCAATTTGGGTACATTCTTATAAACTTCAAAAATTATATTATTATATTATTCATTTAATTGAATACAATACAAAAAATTACTGGAAGCACCAATTCCATATTATTTACAATAATAAATAATTCTAAACAATAAATTACAATATAAGTAATAAATACGAGTATATTATATACAAATGTATTGTATATTAAGTAGAAATTAACTGCCATTACCTTTTCATTTCTCATTTTATATGGTTGAAATGCATTCAGTTTCAAAAATGCTTAATTATATAAGAAATTATATATAATTATAAACACAAATTATAATGATAAGTTGTTGAATAACAATTTAAAAGGAAGAAAAATTTAAAAGTATACTTGATAAAGAGATTTTGTTGATGCAAATTCCTCTGGTTTTAAGCTGTACATGAAATAATTGTTTAAGCAATGTAAAGATAAATAAATTAGAATTCTTTAAATTTGTAAATGTTCATTACGCTGTTCATTTATTATCTCTTATAATTCTAACCACTGCTTTAATAAAAGGTTTACATAAAATTATATATATATAGTAATATTTATAATAATACATAAAACTAATACTAAAGCAAGCTGTAATCTAGAGCATAAACCTTCTAAAGCTTAAGGATGTTTGTAATATAAACAACAATAAAATCGCCGCTAAGTTAACTAGACGAGAAGTTGCAAAACTAGTACTTGATATCGAGTAATACTTATAATTCAGAATTCTGCACAACTTTTTTATTTGGCATTACAAACTGAAGAAATACTATCAATACCATACTATCAAGGTACATATGTAAGTACGTCAGAGATGCGGATGCGTATTTACTAACATAATACGATGCATTATGCGATTAAAAGTAATAATATGAGCAACAAATCATGATCTAGAACTGAGTCCACAATAGTTCTAACAGAAAAAAAAGAGTTAATGCATTTCTAAGTTCATATTACATTATCTTATTTAGCTTAGCTAACAGCATAATGCAGATTTGCAAATATATTCATAACTAAAGAATCTCTTGACCATCGACAATTATTTTCTGCAATAAATATAAAAACTCTTGGCAGTTAATCTATCCAGTTTAAAGGAATAATAACAATGTCTTCACAATTAAACGCAGGATATTTTAATATGCGTAATTTTAAGTAACAAGAAGGCATAGTATACTTAAATAGAAATTATATTAGAGTAGTAAGTACCAAAACCAATAGACTCGTATAACAGAGAGGTACTAGGCGATATTAACCTTTATATACATTCAGAACTGTCAGTTTGAATAAGTATCAATGTTTAAAGTACTTGGTTTACTTACATAGTCAGTAAAAAATATGTATGACCAACAATGCTATAAGTCATAAAACATATTGAAGGACATAATGAAATATTAAAAACCTTTCCAGATGTAAACCTAAATACGTATCGAAAGCAACCAGTATAAAAAATATCTGCAAGAAATATCGATTAATTGACAATCAAAAACGAACAAAACCAAAAAAAAATTAAATTGAAATCTGTGCTACCTACGCAAGATATATAGGTAACTCATAACAGTTTGATGTCATAATCATTACAATTTATTTTCGAGAAAGTAAGGTGATCTGCGTGATAATAACTACATAATACAGGTCGAGTGATAAGTTTGAGCTAGCAGACACAGGAATTATGGATATCACTAAGTAGTTGAGTCTTAAGTAGCTGAATCTTAACTGATGGCGGTAATGGGTATGATATATTTAACAGACTACCAAAAGTTTTACAAAGAAAAGGATGTCCGAAACTATTACTTCGCACAAAAGCAACACAATCTAAAAGCAATGTTAAATTTCCATTTTTTTATGACATTAAGGACTA